CTGTAACATGTTCATTTTATATTTGAACATGTTCATTATACAATTTAACATGTTCATTTTGAACTGTAACATGTTCATGATATTATTTTTGTAGAAAAAGGAAAACTGATGCTCTGAGTGAGCAGACTGAAAGAAAGAAGCCAAAATTAACCTATGAAATAAAAGAAGGGGGATTCTTAAATAAAGTTTCCCCTCTAGCGTTGTTCAAATTTTTCAAAGACTTGGATGACCGACAGAAAGAAGATGTAAAGAGTATAGGTTTTGGTTATCTTCTCGACATGAAGATTACACAAATTGCGCAACCAGATCTTTGTTATTTCTTGGTCTCAAAGTACAGGTAATTTGTGAAATTTAAATTTCATAGAATATACAACATGTTATTTTCATTCTACAACATGTTCATTTTCTTATTAAACATGTACAACACATTATATCACATGTTATCACAGGTATGCCAGTAACACACTCATTCTCCGCGGTAATAGAGAGATGAATATTACCGCCGATGATGTTGAGGCTGTTCTGGGCCTACCGAAAGGACCAAAAGAGGTCATTGAGGGAGATTGGTACGACAAAGATGAACAATATAATAAGATGCTTGGGGATTTGAGGGAGACCTTTGGTTTTAAGCGTACGGCTGGAGCTCCAACAGCCAAAAAGCTGGTGCAATATTTAACTGGAAAGGACGTTGAGAGAGGAGGACAAAGAGTCTATGGAGATGACTTTAAAAGAATTTTTGTCATAGCTGTGGTATCCCTTTTTCTCTGGAGAAATAGGGGCCAAGAATGCAAGTTAAGATTGCTCAAATCGTTGTGAAAACCATCTGACATCATCAATCACAATTGGTGCCAATATGTGTTACAAGCTCTTTCTGAATCGGTCAAGATGTGGCATGAAAGTGATGGAGAGGCCCATTTTAATGGTCCACTGACATTCTTGGTGGTATGCTATCTGGACAGAGTCCAGTTTATGAACAAGACTTATGTGCCTCGGAAATTCCCTGCTATTGCTTATTGGACAAATCAAGCAATTTCCAAGAGAGTTAAGGAAGAGCAGAGTGGCCAGGG